AGTGAATGCTCTTTTCCCAGTGATTTTTAGGGGTGTCTGGTTGTTTTTGAACTTTTTAATCTTAAGGAATTTCATAAGTGAAAAAAAACAAAAATGTTCTAGATACTGGACCAGGAAATGCTCCCAGACACCATGGTTATTGATTGGACTCCATCACCCCAGTCACCGCAGAGGTATAGGGGAGAACTTCCCCCAGGGCACAGTGCCAATGACATGGCTTGTGTCCCCCCAGCATTCACCTTGCCCTACACTGATTTCCTCTACTTCTCACAGCACCCACAGACATTTACAATTGCAATAACCTGCCCCTGCACTGGCCCCTTTCCCCAAGGATCTCAAAACACTTGACAAGGCACATTGTGTTCATCAACACCCCCTTTTAGGGTAGGGCAGTATTATTATCTATATGCCTCTGCAACATGGAGAAACTCCAAGCAAAGGAAAGTGACTCACCCTAGGTCAGAAAATGAGTCTGTGGCAGAGTTGGGATTAGACTCACAGCGCCTTGTCTCACGCCTAGGGGTAAGTATAACCAGTATTTGACTCTCTTGTTTTCCTGACTTAGAAGTTCTTTAAAATTAAAACGTATGTTTAAGAATTTGTGATTATTCTGCTCACATTATTGACACCTATTTATACCAGTGCAATAAAGATTGTGTGTGTGAGTGTATAACACAACGCAACGCAACACGATCCTGAATTAATTACCATATTTATTTACATACTACACTCACCTTTTTCCCCAAAAACAGCAGTTGTAAATAGGGGTACACATCTTAATTGAAGAAAGTGATTCTGAACAGGTTGGTTAAAGGGGAAAAGCTTTCACAAAACAAAGTGTGTGTTTTATTTCAGGGTGTGTTACATGCAAATAAATATGTATATGTGCTGGGGCAGATCCAGGAATTCTCAAAGGAGGTGCGGGAACAGCAACCTGCACTTCAGGGGTGGCTGCACCCTTAGCTCCCAGCCTCCTCTGCCCCCATGGATGAGGGCAGACTGCCCTCAGGAGCCTGTAGGGACTTTTTTTAGGTCCCTAAAACGGGTAAAAATCTCTCATCTTCTTCCATTCCCCTCCCCTGCATGCCACTGTTGTTTTCCCCACTCATCTGGAGGCAGGGAAAACACCAGAGCTGTCCCTGCTGGCCCCAGCCAAGCTATGCCAGGGCTGAGCTTATCTAGGAATGGGGACAGCAGCAACAGCAAGGTGAGGGAGTAGTTCCCCCCATTCTGTCCATCCCCCAGGAGCAGGTGTGAGAAAATAGATCCACCTGCCCATCCCCATTGCTGCTTTCCCCATGCATCCCCCACCCTTGGCACAGTGGGGAAAGCAACAGCAGGAGGGAGGGGGTGAGGAGGGAAGGGGGGTTTTCATTTCCTTTAAGGGCTTTAAAAAGTCCCTGGAGGCTTTTGTGGTGTGGTCCAATCTAAAAAATCCATCCAGGAAGAGCACACACCAACTGCTGCAGCTTCCTTAGCCTGATGAAGGGTTTTTGAACCCGAAAGCTTGCTTAATAACTATTCTCCAACCATTTGGGTTGGTCTAATAAAAGATATCAAATTCACCCAAGGAACCTTGTCTGCCTATATCCTTAGACCAACACGGCTACAACCTAAACCCCAGCCACACCACTGCACCCACTCTGAATCTGCCCCTGTGCGCATGTGTGGGTAATATTGTTTTAGCAGTGATATTCAAGGCCCATCACCCTCCCGGGACTGTTAATCCAGCAATTTTCATAAGGAAAGAAATAACAAAATGCACTTGTAGTAAGAAATAAATGATGCCACCAGGTGAGCCATGCTCAGTCCTGTTAGCTGCTGGCCAAGCCATGATTTCAAAGACATGGATGGAAACCGCTGAGTTGAGCAGTGCTCCTCTGCTTTCATGAGCTGTAACTGAGAGCCGTATTTGGCTGCTGGCTCAGAGAGCAGGGTAAAGAGTGGAGAGCACACCTGGGCAAACAAAGCAGCAGGAGCAGGGATGGGCAGGGTCAGAGAGCTCTGCTCATGGGCTCAGTGGGGAAGGCCAGCTGCCATTTGTTCTTACCCATCAGATCCACACCAGCAGTCTTCAGAGGGAGAACCACAGCACTCCGGGCTGCTATATGTGGCTTGGATTGGTCCCCACATGCCTGGATCCTGCCTTTTGCCACCCAAATTAGGCCCCATGTGCCTGGATCCAGCCTCACACCACCCAGATTGGGCCCCAAATGCCTGGATCCCACCTCGTGCTACTCACATGAGGTCCTACACCACCCTGGTCCATGCATCCAACTTAGAGTACAGGGCCACACTATCCTCCAGCACAGGTGACTGGTGTGGGAGGGACATACCGCGTCACTGCAAACTTCCTCCACATCTACTCCTGGTTCATGTGTCCCCTCCATCGTCTGGGGCCACATGGAGTTCTGTGTCTGTGACCCACGCAATCCTTCGGTTCTCTGCTGAGGCCACCCACACAAAGGCTGAAACCTGAAGCCAACCCCAGAAACATCTGTGAAAATTCACCTCGCACCCTGAAGTCCTTCCTCAAATGTTCAACCCACATCTCTGCCCTTTGACCCTCCCACTAGAACAAGATGCTGAACCCTTTGACTGGGCCCAATTGGCAAAGCATTCTGCCAAAATCGTGACCAGAAAGACCCAAATCTCCTGCCTGAATTTATCTGGAGAGATTAGAAGCCTTCATATTAAAATCCACCAACCCCAGATCCATCATTGGAATATTTCTCTGCATGTAAACTCCTGAACTTTGAACCTGAACCTTTCATATAAAACTACACAGACCCGGCATGGTAGTCATTGCCTGAGGGACATCCCAGACAATATACTCCTCCCTTTCCTTGGGAGTCTGCAAACATGAGGAGAGACTAGGTGGATTCCTTACCCCCTCCCATGGCAGTGCCAAAGGAATAAGTTTTAAGCCTTTATATTTCTCTCTGGCCCTCCCCTCCTCAGTTCCCCCACATATAACCCCCTCACTTGTTCAGCTGCAGGAAAAGGACTCATCCTTGAGCCCAGAAGAAGAGTCATGAGACTGTGGCTGCTGGAAGTGGAAATAAGTCAGACAAGGGAAGCCGAAGGGCTCAACTGACCTGGGCTCCATCTTTGAGGTCAAGGCTTTTATATCATTTTCTCAGCTGCATGGGATTGTGTGACAGGATTTGCCCCCTAACCTTAGCAAGTCCATACAGCATTTGTATCCAGGTGCATTTTGCTTGGTCATCTCCTCTGTCACTTTTCTCTCTCTTTCTATGCCACGGCGTAGACCAGCTCCATGTGGCCCACCTCTTGGCAAGGGGCCACTTCTCCTCCAGAGGCAACACATGGCTCACTGGGCTTTGTAGCCCCAGCTGAATCTCCCAATCCTGCCTCAGAGGCAAAGGTGCCCAGTCTTCAAGAGATTTTTTTATTATTATTTTTAAGGAAAAAATGTTGTGTCCCAGGTCAAATGAACCAGATCCAGTCCAAATCCATTTGAATCATCCAAGAACCATATGTGGCCCTGCCACTGGAAAGTATCCTCCACCTCAGCCTGGGGCTTCAGACACTTCCAAATCCTTAGGCAGGCATCCTACATGCAGGTTCAAGCCTGGAGACTTGGGGTTCAGATGGCCCCGAGTTTTGCTTGCCCTTAGCTGTATGGCCTCAGGAGCAAGCTAGGGAGGAGTCTCCCATTTCCATAAAGTCAGCGTGTAGCTGAGATCCTCCCACTGGAAGCTGGCCAGTGGGAAGCTAACTATGAGGCTCTCGTAGGGAGTCCTGTCCACAAGCAGACAAGGGTGCACCCTCCACTGCATAAAGCCATTTGTAAGGCACTTACTTGGTCAGGGTACTGCATCCTGCCACCTTCATGGTCATGCCTCAGCCCCAGCTGGAGCTGGCTCAGTTGCCCAGCTCTGATTCCTCATGGAAACCATTCTACTTCACCTTCTCTCCCTGCCTATCGGCAGCCAGGCTCCTCACTGTTCCCCACAAGTTGGCAGATGACACTTCAGCACCCCCTACCCCTACCACCTCTCCTCTCCAGAAAGCTCTAATTCAGGTTGGAAGTTGCTGCGAGACCCTCAGACAGTGGCAGCAGCCAAGAGGGGGTTTTTTATCTCACAGCCTCCTTTCCTCTGCCAGCTCCTGGCATGAAGCCTGCTGGAGGCACAAGGTGCTTAGATGCCAGGGGATGTGTGAGGCCTGGAAAGAAACAGCAGTGAGAAAGAGAGTGCTTGCTCAGTATCTCTGGCTCTGCTGGGGGAATGCCATGAAACACTCTTTGTTCTCAAGAGAAGCAGACTCCAGAGAAACAATGCTACAGGCAGGTCCTTCCTCAGGCACTGCCTTGGGCTCAATCCCCTCCACACATGGCCTGGGAACAACTAAAGCAGAGCTGCCCCTGCCAATCTACCATTTGCTTTACACAGAGCCACTGGTGCAGCCATGGGCAAGATGAGCTTGGTCCTATCAGCACCCCCAGGTGATGCAGACATGATCTACAACTCCCATTGCCCCATTCCTTATTACCATGTCTCCTTCTGAAGACCAACCCAGCATGCATGAATGGCACATGCCTGCAGTGGCTGGGGGGGCATGGCTGCGCTGGCAGCAGTGGGAGCACAGCGGTGGGAGCTCCCACAGACACCACCGGCACAGGGTGGGGGCAGGCCGTAGCCAGGGGGCAGCAACCACCCGCAGGCACTGCCAGCAGCAGTGGCCAGGGATGATCACGGACTGTCCGCAGACACTGCTGGCAGTGCCTGCAATAGGGTGGCAAGCAGCAACCGCCCACAGGCACCACCAACAGTGCCTTTTTGCAGGGGGTGCACCACCATGCACAGGGGGTGTACGTTCACCCACGTGCACCCCCTATGTGTCGCCCCTGCCAGCATGTTGCTAATTCCAGACAAAAGTAACCAGGACACACTGCACAGGCACTCCCAACTCCTGCCACTCCTTAGAGACCACAGTGGGACACACACACACGGACACACACACTGTGAGACACCCAGAATAACAATTTATTACCACCTCTTTCATACCAAAATACAGCGCATGAACAAGAGTAGGCCTGTGATGAGAGGCCTCTGTCTCTCTCTAACTCTGAGTGTAATTCTCCCAGCCCTCCCCATCACTGACCTGGCATGGATCTGCCTGGCAAGTGCATCCTCTGCTAATAACTCCCACCCCTCTGCCTAGAAGGATGTTAGAGGGAGTCACTTGGCTCTGAACTGCCAAGGTGTGCATGTTCCCCTAAATGGCCCCCTCCTTCTGACTGCCAGCTCCTTTCTTCCTTTCTCTAAAGTACTGAATGAATGTTTCCCCTGTATCCCCTCCCTCTCCTGACAAGACAGATTAGAAAGATGTAACCCCCTCTCCCCCCGTCTGTGAGAGCAGCAGAGAGAATGACTCCCTTTGTCCTCAGCCATGAAGGTCAGATCAGTACCAGAACCAGGAATTCCTTGTGAATTACATCAAGGACCGTCTGTCTCTGTCCATCACTTCTCCTGAAAGAGGAAGACAATGAGTTTTCACACAGTTCCCTAGTGCTTTTGTACTGAAGGACCTGAAGCACCTGGATGAAACCCTTGTTGAAGGGGGCAAAACCCAGCAGCTGTTTAACAGCACAGTAAAATACTTTAGGGAGGGATGTGCAATTTCTTGTCCCTGTGTGCAGTCCCATAGGGACTTTTCATGAGCACATCAGTCAGATGGTTCATTGCACTACAACGACAACAGCTCCAGCATTAAGCTGGGAGACAGAAGTTAGCACTGCCACGGAGAGAAGGAGAACTCTCAAAGTCACATGCAGCACAGCTCCCCCTCGTCCCACACTGGCACTGGATGCAGTGCTGCTCCTGAATGAGACACTTGATTCCTCCCTCGTGCCTAAGCTTAACTAGTTGCACAGGAATGGCATGCCCTCCTCCCAGGAAAGCTGTCTCCCACTCACCTTGCTGGCAGGGATCTGTGTACTCCACCATCGACTGTTCATCTGTCAAAGAAGAAAGCTGAGTGTCCTAGCTTGTGTGTGTGAGAGAGAGAGAGAGAGACTAAAAAAAACCAATGCCTGGACACCACTCCCACCAGATCTGGCCAAACGAAAGAGATCTAGAGAGAGATCCCAGGACCTTCAAGAGACATATGCTGTTCAGTTTTACTGAAAAGATGAAAAGTCGGCCTTTCCCACACTGATGTTCCACTGTAGTGCAGCAACACACTAAACTTTACAGCAATGATATTTTTGCAGCAGAAAACCTGCCCCTGGCCAAGGACTGAATTTTACTGTCCACATGTGGTACAATAAGTACCTGTAAGAACATGAAAACTGCTGTTTACTGGGTCAGACCATGAGTCCATCTTGCCCAGTATCCTGTATCAAGAGTGGGACTGTTTTAGGGATAGAGTGGTGTCTTGTTTTAGGGAAGCTATTTATGGGAAAGGAGGAGGAGGTTTGGTTTGGTTTGGTTTGGATTATTTTTGTTTTTCTGGAAGAGGGACTGCACATTTGCTGGCAAGCTGATTTTATTTTAAAGTGAACAGGACAAATAAATAACAATCCCTAGAAGTGCCTGATATATTGTCTCTACAGGTGAAATTATTTTATGTATAAGAACCTTTTTGCATTTTGTCATCATCTTAAGATTGAACTATTCTGCTAAGAAATGCATTGTGTTAATTTAAAGATTGCTGTTCTGGGTTCTTTTTATTTGGAAAAGAGCTCACATCAAGTAAAAGGGCAGTTACTTTCTCAAATTGTTTTTCTCCCCTTTTAGTGGAAAAGTAGCTGATTTACTGAATTTCACAGACGTGAAGTTCAAAAGAAGAGTGTGAACACTTGAAAAGAAATGAGTGAGATCTGCCGGCAAAGGCTTCACGAGCCAAGCTGCCAGCAGTCTGACACACATCAGATCGCAGCCCACCTGGCTGGTAGTAATCATAGACTTTAATTGCTGCTGGCTTCAGGTCCCTGACAGGAACATCTTGGCTGATGGTGAAGGAATACGTCTGAGTGTCCTTATCCAGCTGTGGGGAGAGAAAGGGTACAGTAAGCATTCAGGGTACCATACCAAAGCCTGTTAGACACGCATTCTATTGATGTACCTGCAGTGCCCCCTGCTGTTACTGTCCCAGGAGTACTTGAGCAGAGACTGAAGAATATGCTGAATATTGGGAGGTTTTTTAAAATAAAGACAGACTTGCCACGGAGGCGCTGGTAAAGTTGGAACTCCCAAAAACATTTCTCTATGGCCATTGCTTAGGCATCTATTGCACTCATTTCTAAACACAGCACAGGATTGTAGAAACAATAGGGCCTGTGCAGGACTGACTGTCCGTTTCTCTGGCTTGCTCTGTTATCTAATCCTTGCTGATACTTTAGAGGCCACTGTTGCATCTTATTTGCTCCTGTTCTCTCAAAGGTGCTTTACCAAAGAGGTGAATCTTAAGGCAGGATTGGTGGGTGACTTTACCTGCTGCTATAGAGAGGGCTCCAGACCATGCCTGGAAACTGTGGTCAGAGAGGCCCTCTTTGTCCAGCCTGTTTGTGTATAATCCTGGATCCTGAACATAACAGAGCCCCCAGTGGGACAAGACCAGGCTGTCTGCATTAGAACCCTATACAGCAGCTTGTAGTGAATAAGGAGCCAGGGTAACAGGCTTTCTTTGGCCCGTCTTCATTGGAGGTGTGCTGCCATGGCCAGTTGCAGCTTCACTTTCTGCGTGAAATATTTATCTGGGCACAGTGATGGACTGTGGAGTGTTTCAGTGCAGGAGGTAAAATGATTCTCTGCAGGAGGTCTGGCTGTGAGTCAGACATTCCCCCCTGATTCCAACCAGATATGAAATGTGGAGCCAAAACAGATGATGGCAGAGTTCTCTGTCAGGGCCTCCTAATGCCTCTGGCTGGGATGAGAGGCTGCTACTTGCTGCCCATCTCCCTGTGACTCCTAGCTTGCAAGGTTATCACAGACTCACTTCATCTCAGCAACATAGCTCCCTTCCCTTTTCCTCCCCAGCACTCTGTAGGGTGCAGTTTAGACAGTAGGTAGCTTGCATTTCACCAGCAGTACTAAATTAGAACACCTCCTTCAGCTAGGACAGGAAAAAGGCAGTGATAATATGGATAAAAGGGTCTGTGTATCCCAAATCCCCAGTGGGGCATCAGTCAAATATTGTTCTTAGGTTGCACTCAGTCCAGCCTGCAGCAGGGTTATCCCTCACTGGTACTGCAGCCTCCAGCCCATAATCTCAGCTCACCCCAGAAGCAGGCTGGCCATGTGGACAGAGCAGCAGTAACAGCTGGGAGCATTTGGGTGCCAGAATGCCACACATGATCTAGAGTCATATTGTTTTACAGATCACTGTTCTTGGCAAGGGGGATTTGAAAATTTACAGATTACATAATTCTTTAGTAGCAGCTCTATATGGATAGACTTATTGTTATGTGAGAATTGGGGGAGGAGAACAAAGTCATGACCTCAGTAGGGACATGGTGGGCAGCCCAGGATAAGGGTCTGAGGCTTGTGTCCTTGAGGTTTGCTTCTGAATTGAAGATGGAATCCAATGTGTGACTAGCAGAATAGGGGAGGCTGGTGCTTGCTTAAGAGAATAAGGTTCCAAGGTAAATTATTTGGGAAGGGGAAGATTTTCCCCATGAGGTCACAGCAGATTTTAGTAGTACATACAGTTAGGAAACTATTGGCAGGACAGTGCCCCATACCACAGGAGTTGTCCCAGGTCTGCATACAATGTGAATGCACACGTTTGGACTGAGAGGGCAAGCCTGGCTTGCATGGGTGGTTGGAAGCAGGCAGCACAGTCACTTCTCTCACTCCTTACAGGCTAGCCCCTGGGTCATCAGACAGAGTGAGCTGAGAGGGTAGGGAGCTGCCTGGTCTCCAAGGTGCAGAGGAGGATGGGACAATCCCCAGGTAGCATGTCATGTCCTCTGATTTAGCTACTACATGGATTACCTAAGACCCCCAGAGCTAACTCTTGCCCCCTGGGAACCAAGCCCATGCCTGAAACTAGACTGACAACCAGAGTTAGCTTGTGTGTAAGCTATAGAGTCACCTCCCTGATCCCAGCACTGACCTGATCCAGGTAGACGCTGAGATGCTCAGCCTCAGACTCCACTCTCTGCACATATGGCTGCTGCTGAAGCTGGGTAAGAGGATCAACATGGTTAGACACACCCAACACCCAGCCTCTTCTCTCAATTGTCTAACCCCACAGGAGATGCTCTGTGGGATTAGAGAGGAGAGGATGGAGCGGTGAAATATGTTTCCCACCCCAGGATCAAAATGTCACCCACATCTAGAGCACAAGAGTGAGCACAACAGTCTAGAAGGTCCAAAGGATGAACATTTGAGGCCATATGGAGACAAAAAAAAGTGGGATGTGCCCTCTGGGAGCTGCCCTTCCCTGCTGCAGTGACAGAGCCAAGGGTGGGTACTGTGGTTGAGATCCCACACCATGCCACCTGGCTCTTGGCTGAGCTGGCTCCACTGTGACATGGCTCTAGTCACCAGAGTGAAGGGGCTCGTGGGGAAGGGAAGGGACTTACATAGGAGTTAGTGCCCCAGACAGGGTGGAACCCAGACAGCATCTTCACCTCAATAATGGCCATGTTGGAGGTGCTCCGTCTTCCCTCATAGCTGGGGGGATAAGGAAGAGACCACACACCTAACACCTTGCCATTACTCCTCTGCCCTCTCTGGCCTGTCCCACTGCCTCTCAGCCTTCTCCCCTCCCATACATGCTGTGTCCCTGAGATTTCTGCCCACCGGCTGGCTCCTGGCTCTCACCTGACACTGATGCTGAGGGTCAGGACATGGGGGGCTGTCTCACAACTGTCTCCTGCTGCTTTCACACTCAGGAAGAAGGCCTCTCCATCCTTCTCAGGAGGCACGTTATACCGCAGGACTGTCTGGAGGGAAACGTACATAACACCCAACTAGTAAGGACACACATCCAACCAGTAAGGATATGCCCTTACCACTGCCCTTCCACACTCACCCACCCTCCCCTGGCTTCCTTTGGTGCAAGTGAAAGGGATCATATCCCATTCCCTTCTCTGAGCTGAGCACTGCACCCTCCTCTGGCATCCTCCAGGCCAGTCCTGCTGGGTGGCTGTCTCTCACCTGCACGTACACACAGCCTGTGCCAGTGGCACGCAGACTGTATTCTCCAGGAATGTTGGGGAGAGGTAGCTGCTGCAGTACCAGCCGGTTGGCGGTCTCCACGTGGAAGGAGTGCTGGAAGCTGTTGCCTGATCTTACAGTCATGGTAATATCTCCCGACCTGATAAATGTCACTACACCATATCTAGCAAGGGCCTGGAGGGCAACGATGGTGTCCTATGAAAGGAAAGATGGTCACATTGCTACCTGTAGATCCACACCTGAGGGAAACAGCTCATACAGTCTGCCTCCCTCATTCAAGGACAGAGAGATTTTCTCCGTAAGACTCCAACCAGTTGGATTCCAGCTCCCAGCCCCTCAGTGCCATGGGTTATGCTCCTGTGAGTACCAGAAGTTCAATTCATGGCCTCTACCTCCAATCCCAGTGAGTTCTAGCCCTTGTGGGGATCCCAACCTGCTGCTCCCCAAGAAGGCCTGGTCCCTGGCTGGGAGAGAAAGAGTTTGTACCTGGGTGGAGGCAAAGCCCCCGTAGGCGTTCTGCTGCTTGGTGAGCCAGGTCACAATGCCAGTGGCAAATGCAATCTCTTCCTTAGTCACATTTTCCTTCATGAGCAAAGCCAGCAACACATAGGCTGTCAGCTCCACATCCACAGACATGACCTGGGACCAGCTATCCTGAGCAGGAAGTTGAGCAGGCTTCCAGCTCCAGTGTATCTGTGCTCCTGGGAGAGGAGGAACAAGAACTTGAGGTGCACTAGAACATTTGTTTGGACTCAGGACTGCTGTCCTCACTGGGCTCTACTTGCCATCAGGCATGGAAGAAAGGCCATAGGCTGAGTCTGGCTGAGGAAATACCTACATGGAAGCAATACTGTGGTGGGGGCAGCTGAGCAGTGAAGTGTCACTTTGTGGTAAAGGGGCCATATTAAAGCAGAAATTTGGGCAGTAGAGAGTAACCTCTGACCACTTTGTAGGGGCAGGGGGAACGATGTGTTCTGCTTACCTCATTACAAAGCTGCATCAGTCAAGGTGGGGGGATGAGTGGAAAATGAAACAAAATCAAATGAAGATCAAACAACCTGGGGGAAACAAGCCCAAACACTGATGCCCTGGGGAGAATGGAGCCTGGACAGGAAAGGGATTGGTGGGGCTTGGGCAGGACAGCACCTTTGAGATGAATTTGCAGCATGGTACATTAGCTATAGAGTAGTCTGTTAAGGGAAGGGTGCAAACACCTGAATGAATAAGATGGTAGGATGTGTGCAGTCCCTACCAACTCTCAGGAGAGTGGCTGGAAAAGCTTTCAGGGTTCTACCCTCACTACCTTCCTTGACTCTGTGGTAAGCATCCAGGCTCTAAATGCTGGTACAATTGATGCTACCAGTCATGGGAGCCCTAATGTTCTCAACAAAGCAGCTGGCAGCCCCACAATACCTGACTTGATGGCCTGCTGGTCCAGCTTAGCAAGAAGAGAGTCCCTCCTAGCCCCATCTCCAGCCAATGAATAGACATATGCCAGCAGCGCCTGAGTGTAGATTCCAGTGACAATGGAGGAAGCATTCCTGAGGCATTTCAAGCCATTCTTCACCATTGGGTCCTGGGAGAGGAAAGAATATGGAATCGATTTAATAGGAGAAGCAGCAAAGAGAAATGGAGATGACCCCACAACTCTCAAACCCTCCCCTTATGGTTAGGGACCTACTGACTTCACAATCATGCAATTTTTGCAGAAACCATGAAATTGGTAGGCCCCCCATGAAAAAGGCTGGTCCCCGCAAAAGAGCACAGAAACCACAAAAAAACAGGAAAGCAGCCAGCAAGCGAACAGGGGCAAAAAAAGGCAGCTGCAAACAGAAAACAGCATAAAGCCCTGGCATCCTGGAGCACAGGAGGAAGCGGGGAGCAGGAGCAAATCGGAGACTGAGCCCCTGACAGACTCAGTCCAGGAGCCTTTCAGTGGTCAGC